CTGCCACCTTCAAAGATTTACTTATATGAACCCCCAGGTCTCTCTGTTCCTTCACCCACTTTAAGATTGTACCACCAGCTTATATTGCCTCTCCTCATTCTTCCTCACAAAATGCACTTCGCAATTCTCCACATTAAACTTCATCTGCCATGTGTCTGCCCATTTTACCAGTCTGTCTACGTCTGTTTGCAGTCTGCTATTATCCTCCTCACTGTTTACTACTTTTCCTATCTTAGTATCTTGATAATAATAATAATCTGCAAATTTGGAAAGTGTATTCCTATACTCAAGTCCAGATCATTTATATAGATCAAAAACAGCAGTGGTCCCAATACTGATCCCTGGGGGACACCACTGTACACTTCCCTCCAGTCTGAAAAACAACCGTTCACTACCACTCTCTGCTTTCTGTCTCCCAGCCAGTTCTGTATCCATGCTGCCACTGTCCCTTTAATACAATGGACTTCTATTTTGCTTACAAGTCTCTTATGTGGCACTTTATCAAATGCCTTTTGAAAATCCATATAAACTGCATCAACTGCACTGCCTTCATCCACCCTTTCCGTTACTTCATCAAAAAACTCTTATTAGGTTTGTTAGATATGATTTAACAAATCCGTGTTGGCTGTCCTTTATTAACCCGTATTTTTCTAAGTGAAAATTTATTTTGTCCCAGATTATAGTCTCTAGAAGTTTCCCCACAACTGACGTTAGGCTGACTGACCTGTAATTCCCGGGTTTATCCTTCCGCTCCTTTTTGTACAGGGGAGTTAACATTTGTAACCCTCCAGTTCTCTGGTAGTACCCCAGTGTCCAAGGAGAATTGAAAGATTGTGGCCAGAGCTTTGTTACTTCCACGCTTACTTCCTTCAGTAACCTAGGATGCATCCCAACCAGACCAGGTGACTTATCTACCTTGAGCACCAACAACCTTTTTAGTACCTCCTCTCGGTTTATTCTTATCTTATCCAATTTCTCTACCCTCTCCTCTAATACTGTGGCATTGGCTGCATCCCCTTCTTTTGTGAAGACAGATGCAAAGTACTCATTTGGTAGTGAAGTTCCTGGCAGGGCAAAATGTTGGGCAAGTTTCCTTACTCCATATGCCTCTGTTTACCTAGAAGTAAGTAGGAACCCAGTTCCTTCAAAATGTTTTAAAATAAAATAATAAATTGTTCACTTCAGTCCATGACTGTTTGTGGGACACTGCTGTGTGTAATTGGCTGCCACGTTTTGCCCACAAAATATACAGTCAAATCACTACAGTATATTCTGAGAAGCGCTTTCAGACATCTTGAAGATGTGATAAAGCGCTATATCAAATGCAAGTATTATTATTATTGTTATTTTGCGGAAACCTCTCTGTAGCACACCAAGTTCAGCCTAACTGGACCACTATGAACCTGAGTAAATGAGTCTTTGGAACCCTCCAGACGTATGAATTTTGTTACATTGACCAACTGAATATAAAAAGTTATGGGAAAATAACAGGGAGTTTGTATTAACAACAAATTACATTTATGTAGCGCCTTTCACATCCTGAGACCCTGGACAGTCGAGGGTTTGCATATTAACAGCGCCCACAGGATTAACGGGATGAATGGTTTCATTCTGTGCTGCAATAATTATGATCCTGTGATATGCAAGCAACTGGCTTAAAGTCAAGTTGACACAAACAATAGCATTCTGAAAAAATGCTCATTTGGAACAATGGAGGCTTTTTAGCAGAGAATGCCCAAGATTGACTTAGAAACGAGAGGGAACGAGATGTACAAATCCTTAATTACCTTGGCAGAATTTACATTCTCTTGAAAAATGTGGAGAAAGATGTCACAGAAGATTGCAACTTGCAGAACTTAACTATAAAAATACTTCATTTGCCACTATTTTTTTTAAAAAAAGTTACGCTTCATCATAGTATTAATGGTGGCTCTAATGTTCATCTGAAAATTAAACGTGCGGTTTGTAGTCAGGAGAAGGCCTTGTCTATTTATGATGGTCCAATGCAACCAGTCTGGAGAAGCACTGAGTTTGAAATGTTCACATATTTATTTTCTCAATATCCATGATTATATTCAGGAAAGAAATAAGACAAAATGGGCCATATTGGCTTGTTAGCAGTATATACACGAGCAGACCAGTCGCCAAGGGATCACTCGGGGATCTTTCCCATTCAGCTGCTGTTAATCCTGCAAACCAAAGCTCTAACCAGTAGGGTGGTCTTAGCTGGAGAAGTAGTAGGAAGCCTGCAAGCTTTTTCAAGACAAGCTGTACAATTTCAGCTGGTTAAACTCCAGCAATACTTCATTGCACATTTTGAGATCCCCAAGGCCCTTATCCCAGAATGTTTAGGTGTCGGTTGGCAAAATCCAAAGCTTGGGGAACGCAAGAGTGTGCGTTAGGGCACTGCTGGAATTTAAGCAGCTAAAACTATGAAACTTATCATTGTGAATACTGACAAGTTTCTCGCAGTTTGTTCAGCTATGATCACCTTACCTGAAAGGGCGTTGGCTTGCAGGGTTAACAGTGGCAGAATCCCATCCCCAAGTGACTTATCTTCATCTCCAACATCTGCCATTGAACCAGGCTGATGGGAATATCAAGTGGCCTGGAGTACTGTGGACCTGCCAGGCTCTAATACTGGACAAGTGACTGCCACAAACGAATGACTCGATTCCAATCTTATGCCATCACCATCATATGATTATTTGGTAGATTCTACTAAATAGAACAATCTGTAAAAAAATCTTTTGAAGTATTTTAACCCAGGCATGGAAAGCTTTTGGATTTGAGGATGGATGCCATTGCTTGACATTCCCTGATGGTGCCAATAGGAGGTCAAGTCCAGCTCCAAATTAAATCACTGTGGAACTCAGATCTAAATGGTTTCTGTAAGGATGAATCTGCTACAACATCTGTCTTTGGCATTGCACTTTCTGTCCATTCCTGAGACCAATGAAGTCTTTCCATTCTGAACTCAGAAAGACACGAACAATCTACACACGGAAATTTAGCTAAAAATCATGAGACACTAAAAATCTTAACTTGAAACTTTTTTAAAAAATTGCCTGGAGTTCAACGCAATGAAACAACTGCAATGCCACTTATTGATGGCAGAGGATGCAACAGCAGATTTAAACCCCACGAGAAAGTAACAGGAAGGAACAACAAAATGGGACACAATTTTTATAGACAGAACAGAGTATTTTGCCAATATTCTGTGGTCTGAATACTTGCTCAGCCTAACTCGCACTCCTGAAGATACATATATATATATATCAAAGGAATTATGCTGGGTTATGATTTATTACAAACATTGACCATAAAACAAATTTCCCCGCATGGAATTTATCACAAATATCAGCCACTCAATCAATATGCCCCTGGCTTTGGCATCCTGTACGCCACACAGTTAAACTCAAAACACTTACGAGATGTTGAAAGGGAGGTGCTGTGGGGGATGAATTGTTCCGGCAAGCTAGCATACTATTGAAAATCTATAAAAATACACATTTTATTTGCTCGAATACCACATACTGGCAGCTCACCTACAAGACTTCAGGTTCTTCTTATTCCACTGCAGAACCTGGCACTGAAAGACTCTTGGGATCAGAGTTTGAAGCTGTTTGGGTGAAAAGTGAGGGGTCTCCAAACACATCAAGTAGGCCAAAAGGGCCTTCTTCACCCCAATGAATTCTGTGATCATTCTTGGGTGGAAATTCAACTCGGGTTTAGACATTCTCGTTTGTTAGCATTCCAGAGCTTCCAAATTTTCACAAATTCTTAAATGCGGTCTCAAATAAACAAATAATAATAACTTGCTCACTCAATCCACGACTGTTTGTGGGCACATTGCCGTGCGCGATTGACTGCTGCATTCCGTCCACAAAAAAAACAGTCAATTCACTTTCCGGTATACTGTGTGAAGCGCTTTAAGGCGTCTCGGCGATGTGATAAGGTACTATAACAAATTCCAGCATAATTATTATTTATATTATTAATTTTGTAACTGGCTTTGTATTTTAAGAAGTTCGGGAAGTCGGGCTTCAAAGCTAAGACTGAATTCAGCAATTTGGCAGTTTCTGAAATGGTGATAAACATGAGTAAACCCAGGTGGAATTTCTCTCCCATCCATTCTTCAATTATTACCAGAGATAATCAAGGAATGTTGCAGAAAACCTAGTTTAAAAAACGTGTTCTTACAGCATGTTCTTAATGACAAGTTGCTGTGAGGATGGATTGTTCTGCCAAGCTAACATACTATTGAAAAATCTATAAAAATACACATTAAACTTGCTTGAATATCATATACTGGCAGATCACTTGAAATACTTCAGGTTCTTTTTATTCCATTGCAGGACTCTGTGAAGCACTTTGAGATGGCTCAAAGACGTGATAAGGCGCTATATCGAATGCAGGGATTATTATTAATAACAAAAGAGAATGCCTCACATTTCACATGGATTTTGGCCATATTGCCATTATATTGTTTCAAATTTAGTGAGGGGACAGATTTGTTTTCATTTCTAGACAGTGGAATGCATTTTTGACTTAACTTCAACTGGTTGAGGAAGAAATTATTCTCGCTATGTCGGGGAGATTGGGAGAAATGTTCACATAGTCGTTAATAATAGTTTCCAGCTAATGCAGTGTTCTTAATTATCGATGGGGAATGTGTGCAGGATTACAATATGTTTTACCTGATTGTCCTTATCGGCTAAGCAAAGATATTCGTCACTACTGTATGAAATTATGACTTAGCTATTATAGATAGTAGCAATATTGCTCATGATGATTCCAAATTGAAAGCCCCCAATAAAACGCTGCACTAAACAACTTTCCTGTGAAAGCTCACAATGCTTTTCTCGAAGCCCGATTGGATGGATTAACAAAGGTTTAATCAAACAAATACACCTCAGATCAAAGATTATCAATGCACACCCTTTAAAAGGACCTTCAGCAAGAAACTAATACCACGCATTCTGCTCTCGTGCCCTTACCTGGTGCTGTGGGGATCTGCCCCCAGTCCTTCCTATTTGTCCTCAGCACAGGTCCGTTCTTCTCTCGATACGTTCCAAATCCCTCAAAGTGCCTCTTTCTGCCCCCACTTAATTCACTTTCCCTCTTCTCAGCTGAGCTGCTCACAGTGTGCAGGTCCCCATACAGGTCCACTGAAGCCTCCCGTCTAGTCCGGGCATCGGGACTCGTGTACTTTCTTACACAGGCATCGATTGACTCACTGATGGAATCACTTCTTTCCATGGCCCTTGTCCATTGTGGGAAATCAGAGAAGGTTAATTTCGACGACATGTCTACGTCAAAGATGTTCTTTGCGGCCTTTTGTCCACTGTGCATTGGTTCGATGTGCTGGTGTCTCAGCTTCTCCTTGTGTTTACCTTTGTCGGCCACCAGGGAAAGGTCTTTGTCACAACTGTCGAGTTTCTGATGTACTAAAGCTTTAGCAAAATTGGACTTGCACCCAAACAGCTCCCCTAGATCATCCCTCGAGCCAATGAGCCGTTCGTCCCGGTGTTTGTGCTTGTGCTTATGTTTTCGCTTGTGAATTCGGCTGCTGGATATTCCAGTGCCACCACCTCTTTGCGATGTCAACGAAGGCTGCATGGTATTTAAATCCACTCCAATTGAAGGCTGCAAGTGCATGGCGTGTTTTGCCTTGTGCTTGGCAGTGGTTGGCATTTTTAGGTGGGAGCTGGCATGGTACTGGGGCGGGGGCATTGTAGGCCTCATGAAGGGGGAAGACGACCCAAGTGTGTGTGATAGGTAAAAGGGAGCTGAATATTGCCCATAATACCCAAGGTTCATCATGCCTGTAATAGGCACTGATGTATAAGGCATGCCATAGGGTGCATAGTAACTCCCGCTGGGGAGTGGGTACCCAAAGCCCTGTAAGAAAGGCACCTTTGTCATAGTCTCTTGGGCTTTAGGAGGTCTACCACGCCTCTTCTTAGACTTGAGATCAGCCGTGCGGCGAAGGTAGTGTAATGGGTCATAGTGAATGTATGGCACGGGATAGTAGTGGTCAAAGTTGACCCGGAAAATACTGGGATACGGGTTGTCAGGATAAAACGAGTAGCTCCGGTGCGAGATGCGAAATATCTGAAACTTCGCGATTAGCTCTTCCAGGTCCGCTATGAACTGAAGGTCATCTCTGCTCTGCATCTGCAGGCTTTTTTTCTTTCGCCTGTGCTTCTGCTTCTTCATGTTCTCATGTATACGGAACTCGTCCACGACCAGATGTTTCTGCCGGTGCTTTCCCTTCACTCCGCCGTCCGTCGCCGCACCTTCGCTGGCGTCGAGTGCGCAGAAGTCGAAGGAGTATTTCCGGCGGGATTCGGACCCCTTTTCCGCCTGGTCGGAAGTGCTGTTGTTATCTGTTCCGATTCCGCTGTCGCTGGGGATGGTCTCTTCGCTGTGGGACTCACTGACGGGCGAGAGGGTGACCTCCTTTAACGACGCCACCTCGGACAAGTGAGATGGGGAGTTGGCCAGGAGCCTGGGTGGTGACAGCTTCCAGGTGCTGGTGTGCAGGCTTTTGGGGGGTTTGGTAGGAAGTGCACTGATGGGCTGAAGGTTTGGCATTGCCTTTGACTCGGATAGGTTGGTCTCACTGCTGATGGGGCTCAGGTTTCCACCTGACCCCATGACCTGGGAGGGCGACAGTTGAGCACTGCCTGGTGTCATTGCTGCGGCCAGCGGTGAGCCGAAAGGCACGGTTGGGTTTTCCGAATGGGCAGATATTGGCTTGGAGTACTTCTCGGCTCCCTTGCTTCCCTCTTGCTGTAGCTGGCCCATGCATTTGGGCTTGCGTCCTCTCTTCTTGCCAATATAAATAGTCCCCCTCTTGCTCACGTTGATCTGCTTCCCGAGCTTGGTCTCGAGGGCGGACGAGATTGCTGACACGGCACTGGAGGTCTGGACTTTCTTCTTCAGCACCGGGTTGTTGGAGTAGGACAGGATCTGGTTCAGGATGTTCTTCCGTGTCATGCTCTTCATTTTATTGATGGTTTTGATGGTCTTCTTGTCCAGCACGCCTATCTTTCCCTCCTTCTTGGAAAAGGTCACCTCGCTGGGTTCTGAGGTGACGGAGTCCATCTGCCCCAGCTGAAGAGGACTTTGCCGTTTCTTCTTTTTCTTGTTGGTACTGGGAGATTCTCGACACATGGGGCTGACCGGGCTGGTGGCAGCTCCCTCGTGAATGGTCTCCACAGTCAGGAGTGGCTGCTTCTTTGGTCTTCCCCGTTTCTTCTTCACAGGAGTGATAACCGTCAGGCTATCTGTGTTGGAATACAGAGGGCTAGCGGGGGTTATAGGAAAGGCCGAGGGAGGCTCCATCACCATGTTCACTGCCTGCATCATGCTCCTCTCCTCCAGGAGGCTGATGGTTTTACACTTGGCAGAAATCGTGCCCTTTTTTGCTGCTCGTTTTGGATGCTTCATTTCCTCACATCCCCTCCGGCTCTTGGTGGGATCTATAAACAAAGGAGAGGTCAGCAGTGCGGTGGGTTTCCGAACCCTGCTTCTGGCCTCTGACACGGCAGCTGAGTCCTGAGCTCTGCCTGCCTCTGGATTGACTTGACTGAGAACCTTCTGCACGTTTCTACTTTGCTTTGTGACCTTGCCGCTGGCCTGGCTCCTGCTGTTACTTACACCGTCTCCAGCGCTGGGGAAGTTGCTATTATCAGCCTTTTTTACAGCTGATTCAGCACTCATTGGTTCTGATTGCAGGCTTTTATCCAAAATTGCTTTAGACAGCCGTCCCTTTCGTGTTCTGGTGCCTGTTGACAAGGCAGTCTGTGGCTTTACTGGCATTCTGATCAATACGGTGCTGGAATCCTTGTCTTGACTGCCCACCGCGCTGACCCTGGACGGGGAGGATCTGGCCAGCGCCTCTGCATTTGTGACATGACTCGCAAGGGTATCTTTTTTACTCTTTCCGCTCCCGTGGCATTCCAGCTCCTGTACCTTTTGACTACTTTTGTCCCACTCTGCGTCCATGCTCTCCGTCGCCTGGTTTTTAGAGCATTTGTTGGTGTCTTTCCTACCGGGTTTCCCGGCCCCATTTCCGTGCGGGGAATGCTCTTTGCACTCCGAGTATCCTTTCTCTTGGTCCATTGGTGGAGTCTGCATTGTCTTGCCCTCGGGCCGACCGATGGACTGAGGCAGTAAGTTGCCTAGTCGGCCGCTACCAGTGATGGAGAGACCCCCGTGACTGCTGGTAAAAGGATTCCAAGTACAGCCGGCAGGGACAGGCCTGCTCAGCTGGGACTTTGCAAAGTCACAGAACTGATCCGAAACTGACTTTGCGCTGCTCGTGATCTCTCTACGGGCATCGACATCTGTTGCATTACTCTGAATGGCAGGGGAGACTCCAGCAGTCGCAGACCATTCAAGCTGGATCTGATTAACCCGATCTTGGTACTTTGGTTTCACACTGTCAGCGCTGAAGTCATGCTGCAACCTCGAGGGAAGCTCACTGAAACGTACTTCGGGTTGCTTGTGAGATCGTGCCTGACCCTGTCAAAAGATAAACAACCGTTTAGCAAACTTGACCTTTAGGTGAGGAATTATATAGAGCAGCGGATGCATGCTGCGAGCGAGCGCAATCAGAGAAAGAAGGTCAGACACCAGCGTGAACTGCAAAAGCAAAGCTTGAAGTGTTTAGAAAACCGGAGGACAGATTCTGAACTTGCCTTCACCCCTTGGTGCTGGTTTGTGTGCCCGATACATATGGGATTTGTTGCTTCCACCCCACCCTTCACTCTTCCACACTTCCCTGCTCAAATGAATGTCACCAGCAGCATTTGTTGTACATAGCACACATGCACATAACGTAGGAAGTGTTGAGAGCATTGCTTCTTGTATACAGGAGGCAGGAAGTGACAGCGGTGGTGACCCAAAGGCGCCAGAAGTAGTCTCAGAGATATTGGTTTCAGCCAAATGCATTATAATTGGATAACCCTGCAACTTGCAATCCAAATTGGTCCGCAAAACAGCACTCTTTTTCCCCAACTGAATCCCATAAAATGTACAAAAGGACAACATCATCTTTAGGAACTATCTCCAATCTGCTTTACTGCATCCCTGTCCTGGGAGCAGAATGTTCTTCGTGCCAGTGGTAGCTGCCAACACACGTCATCTTCCTAATGTAGGACAAATGGCTCGCAACACCATCACAACCAATTTTAGAGCTAAATACTCCAATTCACTCCGCAGTGCAGTGCACACCAGATCAGCCTGAACAAAACACAGCTGTGCTGCCTTTCAGCTGCAGATGTCTATACCAAAGTGAAGTATTGTTGATAAGAAGGCAAAAGCACGTTGTAGGCATAGTATTGATACTCGGTCACCTGATATCTCGAGTGCATTTGTACATAGTTGTCAGTGCAGAATTTACTACATGCAATCCCAGTGCCATTTGAACAGCAGCAAACTGGCACTACACTTCCCTTTGTTTTCTGTTATACACTGCGCAGCCCCGTTTTCACACTTCACTATAGCCGGAGGTTGCTTATAACAGGTTTCACCCTTGTTGATGACACTTCCTGCTTTGTGGAGGTGTGTGTGCGGAAAACAGGAAGTGGCAGTGTTAGCATTAGTACTGGAGAGCACTTTTTCACTGCATTTGTTCAGTGATTTTATTTTTGTTCAGCCAGGTGTCCAGCACAACACACACACACACAAATTGCCACACTTAAGAGTGCCCTAACCAAACTATGGAGAGATCCACATATGCATGCAAATTTCTGTTTGTTTGGAATGGCACAATCTGTCCCCTGAGGGACGCACCCTGGTTACTTAATTCTGGTAAATTGAGGAGCAGGTTGGCAACAGCCAAGGTTTGGGGACCCCTGAGCGTGTCATAGAAGTTTTCAGTGAAGTTTTGTGACCGTATTTTGTCAGTAAAAGTAGTAGCCAATTTGCGCACAGCAATGTTTCATTAAAACCATGAAATGACTGAAGAAATGTATTATACAATACAATTTACACTTATATAGCGTCTCACTTAGAGAAGTCATCTCATCATGATTGGCACTGCTGGCTGGGTACACCCGAGCTGGGGGTGGGAGCTGAGAAGGGGAAAGATGACCGAAAGCGTGGTCAAAGAGGTATGATTATTTATTTATTACTACTCTTGATGATTATTTATTTATTCTCCAACTATTTGGGAGATTTTTGACCAGGAACGCAGGAGAAGCTCCCTTCTCTTTTAAAATAGTGCCACAGGATCTTTAACGTTCATCTGAATCAAAGGATGGCCCCTCTGACAATGTAGAGCTCTCCCAGGACTGGATATAAAAGAGCGTTTCCTGCACAGACTGAATGTATAGCCCATGAACATCAGAGTTAAACAACACTGGGAGCTTAAATGCTTCTGGACTGTGTGTTCAGAAGTACTCAATACCAGGACCTACTAAGTGTTGTGGCTAACACAGCAGATCTGTTTTGCCACATGCCTATTACGGGATTTTGCACAAGTGTTCTTTCCATTCCATGTTTGTAAACAATGGGATTCCCCCTTACAAACATGTAAGAGAAAGATTGATCGGCAGATAGCAGATCCTTCAAACAGCGAATTCCCTTCCTGTCGACAACATTTATGCCCTTGGAGAACATATTCTGAAAGATAGGTGCTCCAGTGTCACCTGCCAGCGAGCGTGCTGAGCATCAGCCTCTCTGGTGTCTGACCCTCTCATTAACAATATAAGCAGTCAGCGCTGGCTTGACCGCTGCTGTTCTATAACGAGGAATGAGCTGTGCGAGAACTTGCAATCTGACTGTAAAATGCAGCTTGACTATTTGATCCTCGAGGAATCACTGCAATTAACCAACTGTCTATCTGTGATTCCTGTCCAACTCCCCAAAGATATTTATTTATTGTACCTAGCGAATCGAGCTCTGAGCAGTTATTTCTCAAGCGAAATGCTTTATTAAGAGGCCTTATGAAGTGCGATAAGCAGCTGGTTAGCATGCCTTTAGTTGCTACCTGCTGTGATTTTTCAAACATCTGAACCATTGTTCAATTCATTTACATAGACTAATAAATTCAGAATTTAAAAAACATACACCGCAGATTGTTCGACTGGGTTAATTACAACACGTTCTCTGTGTGCAGCCAAATTGAAAGCAGTCAAATGCTCAAAGCCATCATCAGCAAATTTGTTTTAAAAAATTAATAACATTAGTGACTGCAGTCTCGTCTGCAGCAAAACACTGATCTGGTCCCTGAGGAATAGATCACTTTCAGTGTCCTTGTTTCCTTTCTGCCAATGATTGTGCATTGACATTAGACAACAAAACCTCATAAACAGAGCGTACAAAATTGCAAGCCAAATTTTTTAAAAGTTGCTTGATTTTTAATCAAAAAATGTTTGGCCGTAACCTTGAAACTCCACTGAGATACTTTATATCAACACACACACACACACATTAAAATTGTTCCGGTGAAACATTGCGTTGGGTGCAATAAAACACAAAACAAGTGAATTCAAAAAGTAAACGGTCTTTAAAAATCTGAAAAAAAACTGAAAGGTTGTTGGCATCCAGGAGAATACTGTGTTTAACATCAGATAACAAATACTGCGGGTCTGACCTCTCTCTCTCTCTCTCTCTGTGTGACATAAAGATAGATAGCTCTACGTGAAGTCAGTCAACATGAAGAGAAAACTGTACTTCTCAGTTTAGCCGTAGCTGCTTCCAATGCTTCTTTCTCCCCTGAGGCAACATTGTGAGGCACCACAAGCCTGGGATGCAGCTGTAAGGATCGGGAATTGATTTGGTAACACCCAGCAATGGCGGCAGAGCCCTAAACTGAGTGTAAGGAATGTGTGTGTGTGTGTGAGAGAGGAGGGAGCGAGACAGTGAAACAGAAACCAGGTGATTAGGCCTAAGCCACTCACCTTGGGCTTGTCTTCATAAAGTAAACATACAAGAGCCAGTGGCTGTTCCTGCAAATCAGTGGAGCTCTGAATCTGATGAAATCACACTGAGAACCTGATAAAGGAGATTTATTACAAACGCAGGGCAGTCATCTTCCAACCGTCTCATTATTCCTGAATACGACAAGCTGCTGCGGCACTCTGGCCCCCCCTGCTCCTCCCTCCCCCACCACCACCCCTTAACTCTCGCACTTAGCATGCAGTACATGTCAGGATTGCTGTAATAGGGCCAATAAAAATGCCTGCACGCTCGCAGGGGTCACAGCGATGCAGCTGCGTGCTTGTTCAGTCTATCTGCTTTACGCTAATGCACTGAATTATCCCAGCTCTGCTTCAGATCTCTGAGCCACGCAAAGAAAATATTAAAAACTAACATCCCGAGTTTTACAGCTGATGCCCTCTGACACCACAAGGCTCATTTGAATAGACTGCCTCATTAATGAACTAACTCCTGATAAAGTAGACAAGCCGCTTCTCCATTAAATTGCCTTACATTCCTCATAAACACCAACGACTGTATTTGGGAATTTGGATAAAAGCAGGGAAAAGCATGATTGTTTGCACAAAATCTCCTAGAACAGGAGTGGTGAGGGCACCGAGGGTGAGTTAAGTCACCCTCTTACCTCCACCCTCTCTGCCCTCCATCCCTCCTGATCCCAACTTGCTTGCAAATCCTTGAGTATCCAAGCGTTGGGACATCCTCATGATGGGAAAGGCGCAATACAAATGTGATTTGTTGTTGTTGTTGTAACAAAGCACAAAAGTGTGTGTTTTTTGTCTTCCTTTTGAAATGATGGGAATTTATTGGGTGACACATTAAGACATCGATCATTTTCATTTTCACCTAAATGGCCTACTCCTGTTCCTATTGGATACATACCTGGCCAGCCCAGATTTGTGGCCTCACGAGGTGGTAATAAGTATGAAGAACTCCCTGTGAGCTTCCTGGTGAGCAGTTCATCAAATACATGAGGGCATTGTCAGTGCGTTCAGACCCACAGCTCAGACACACATTCCTACCCATTGAGCAATGATTCCACCAGTTGGAAGTATGGAGCTTGAGAAGCAGTTGCTTATTTCTGTGTATACTAATCAACATAGATCTGAAGGCCTGTATATACATGAGTTTATGTTCATACAGACCGCAGGTAATGCCTTCCAGCAGTTGAGTGCAAAACCTCGGAATTTCCTCATCAGCTATTCGACACTCCTTTAGTGTGGTGAAAGGACCCATGTAGGACAGCTTGTGATGTGCCAGCTCCTGTCTGTGATTCTTACTAACCCCAGGCCACTATCAGTTTCTCTGGGGTTTCACAAATTACATTCAGATTAGTCAAAGACAGATGACATCTTAAGTGTCCTAAATTTATTTTCTGAGACACTTCAGACATTCATATAATTAGGGGTAATCTGGCTACATTATTTTCAGTTCCCCTTGGAATCTTGAAAGATGGCACAGTAGTCTTATTTGGGGGCAGGAATTCTTTCCACTTGATTCCTGTTTACTCTTCAAGCCAACGCCCTCACGGGAAGAATGGTCCTAGCTGGACAAGCAGCAGGAAGTTTGTCAGCCAATGA